GGCTTTGCTCCGCGTCTTCCTGGTCTGCAGACCAGGGAGACGTGGAGCAGCTTTTCTCGCCCCGGAGTACACGGGCGGTGGGACCGCAAGGTCCCGCAGTCCGTGTCCTCCGGGGCGAGAAAAGCCGCGTTCGTAACTGCGGATCCGACATAAGTTGGATCCGCGTAAGTCGGATCCGCGTAAGTCGGGGACTGCCTGTAATAATTTAAAATGTGTAAAGTCTTCCATGTCTTATACTTTTAAAAAAATAATATAGAAGCCTTAGCATAAACAGACTGTTCAATACCAAAAACATTCCTTCTATGACTAGAAATGTTGCTTAGTTTAAAAGACCAGAGTAAAATCAGAATAACATTTAATGTACTTGCAGTTTACTTGAATTTAGATATAAGCACATTTCCATGGATCCAAAACTGCCTGAAAATTGCACAAAAACATGTCCATGGATCCCATTCCTGGAGAGCAGGCTTCACTGCGAGCTCTGCAGCATAATTTTATGCTGCTGAGTGCACAGCACGACAGCCAGATTCCCGGGAGTAGGAGCCTGCGTGTAACCATAACAGAAACCGATAACCTGATGTTTATTGGATAAAAAACGGTTACACTTTTACATCCCTATTAGAAACTGGCATATTTAAAGCAATACAAGCTTCTAGTATGGATACAGTTACAGACTAGTGTGACTGTACTAAGCTTATTGCTATAAATTTATAGAGGTATAAAACTCCTAAAGGCAAGCCCTTGGTCTATATTGGTAGTATTTGCCATCTTACTGCCTACTAGTCAGGAGTCCCCCTACATGGGTATGTTATATTTCATCTCCGTGCATAAACTTTTCTGGTTTTGTTTGCACCAAATATTTTCTTCCAGTTTTCACCAAATGTCAATGTACTACAGTTTTGGCAACTAAACTCCCAGTTTAGTTATACAGGAGAATCCTACAGTTCCAAAATACTTTAAATTTAGGTTTCTGAGCTCACCCCATAAATCAGGTTGAATTTAAAATTCATGTCCGACTTTTTATCAAACCTTCCTGTTCACATGAAATAAGAGCATTCTCTATCCCTTTGGTTTCCGTGTCTCCACTTCACTTCTGGGTGTTTTAAAATCCATCAAATGATTACATTATCCTGATACTTTCATCCTGATAGGAACAGTAATATCAAAGTTGTTAAGGCTTTGTATAGCATTTAATGCTATGTTAAGCATTCTAGGTCATCCGAATATAGAATTAGAGTTATTTTATTTATTATTTCTTTGGATTTATGCAAGCAGTTTATAAAAGTAAAACGTGCTTCAGGTGTATTCCTGTGTATGAAATTCCTTCTTGTTGTTCTCACAATGGCATTGTGAAGTGCTATTTGGTATTTTTTAATCAAAGGGTACCCAAAACAAATCTTCTGTTTATATATAAAAATACATTTTTCTAACTATGTATTCTGCCAAGTCACATTGGGTTATTTCTGGTTCATGGCAGCATTAGCAAAGAAGATTATTTGACTTTGTGGAAGTTGGGCAAGCAAGAAAAGAATCCACTTTCCTCTCTCACAGTTGTATTAGTTTCAAAGCATAAAAAGGAGTGAGAAGTGTATGAGTACAGAAGATAGTGTTCCCAGTAAAATAACCTTTCTGTGCAAAGGTGCAATTTTTGTAAATGAATTTCTAGAATATCTTTAGTTGTATAAATATTAATGTTGATATCTTCAGTGACTTCTCTATATGCAATTATATTTAACTGTATTATATTTAGATCTTTGAAATCTTTTCTTTTCTGCAGTATAAAGAAAAGTAAAAATTATTATGAAGTACTTGGAGTGTCAAAAGATGCAGGTGAAGAAGATTTGAAGAAAGCTTATCGAAAGCTTGCTTTGAAATTTCATCCAGACAAAAACCATGCACCTGGAGCAACAGATGCTTTTAAAAGTAAAAGTTTTTATAATTAAAATGTGTACAAGAAAATCTTTTATAATCTAAAGGGCCCATCTACTGTACAAAACTATCTATGTTAAAGCACAGTGTCTTAGTACTGATTCATTCCATCTGCATAGAATAGACCAAGCAGCAGTTTGTTGTGTAGCTGCAATAGGGCCCTTAATTACTTTTTTCAGGAAATGATTGGTTGTATATATAAATTAGGGACAGCTCAATGTATGCAGGGAAGGTAAATAAGGTAAAATGGATCTCTGAATCAATTTTTATTTTGGTATTGATTTTATTTGAGACAGATGCTTAGCTTGTGAAATTATATTATGCCATTTTATCATTATCCTCAACTGATTCTATACTGGGGTTAGGTTAATTTAATGTGAAGACACATTTTTACATCATTGTGTACTATGCCATCATAATATTTACATACAGTAAAACTCCAGTGGTCCGGCACTCCTGATAGTCCGGCACCAACTGGAATCTGGAAGTGCTCCGGCCAGCTGGACAATTGGAGCTGCTGTGAGCCCCATGGATGCTCGCGGCTGGTAAAGGAAAGGGGAGAAGAGGAGAAGGGGATTATACCCCTGTGACGGGTCTGCCGGGACCCACACTGCGTCTGGGGGTGGTAGGCAGGGAACGGCGCGGCAAGGGGTGAACCCTCCGCTGTTTTGCAGGAAGGCGGGGGAAGCCCCGCGCTGCTGCCGAGAGTTTCCGGGAGGGGAGCGGGCTCCCAACCCTCCAGACTGCAGTAGTTATTGCCGAGCAGGGGGGTGAGGGACGGCGCTGTGGGACCAACCCGGCAGCACCCCAGCTGGAGTACCTCCCAATACTCCGGCATATCCGATACAGGCAGTCCCCAGGTTACGTACAAGATAGGGACGGTAGGTTTGTTCTTAAGTTGAATCTGTATGTAAGTCGGAACTGGCGTTCAGATTCAGCTGCTGCTGAAACTGATCAGTTTCAACAGCGGCTGAATCTGGATGCCAGTTCTGACTTACATACAGATTCAACTTAAGAACCCCAGGCGTCCCCAAGTCAGCTGCTGCTGAAACTGATCAGCGGCTGATTCCAGGAAGCCGGGGGCAGAGCAACTCTGCCTTGGCCCTCCCCCCCTTCAGCAGACCAGGGAGACGCGGAGCAACCCTACAAACACTCAAACATTCCTTGCAAGTAGGAATAAGAGATCCTCCGGAAAAGGGCTTTATTCCAGAGGATCGCGCCAGTCTGGATGCTCTTTTCCAGCTTTTCCCCAAGCCGGAAAAAAAGCGGCGGCCATGTTTATTTAAATCCCGCGGGGGATATTTAAATCCCCCGCGGATTT